TTCCTCTTACACTGTATTTCTTCATAATACCTTGCTTCTTCACCCAGCCACCATTAGCTTCCTCATAATACACTGTATCTTCCTCATAATACACTGTATCTTCCTCATAATACACTGTATCTTCCTCATAATACACTGTATCTTCCTCATAATACACTGTATCTTCCTCATAATACACTGCCTCCCTCACAATCTTCCTCTGATAGGAACATGGTAAAATACAGGCCGGGGTGGGGAGGGGGAGGATGGGGGTGGTCTTCACAGTCAGTCATGTTACATTATAAGGACTTATTTCAGTGCTGTTTTTTTTTCTTTGCAAGCGATCGTGACGGGGCATCTGCTGGGTGTTTTTTCCTCTCTCTCTCTCTCTCTCTCTCTCTCTCTCTCCTCTCTCTCTCTCTCTCTCTCCTCTCTCTCGCTCTCTCTCTCTCTCTCTCTCTCTCTCTCTCTCTCTCTCTGTTTCAAGAAATCAGTCAATCCAGATCCCAACACGACTCTGTGACGAAGGAGGTCAAGACGTATTATAAATAAGAGGAAACTACTGATGGTTTAACTCGTCGACGAGACCTGTACACGAGACCAACGGACGTATAGATGCACCAACGTACGCATACAGACGCACCAACGAACATACAGACGCACCAACGAACATACAGACGCACCAACGAACGGATTTACGCAGAACGTTTCTATATTCGTCTCCCAAGAAATAATTTTACAAAACCTTTCACCAACAAGCATCATTACCAAGTGTGTGTGTGTGTGTGTGTGTGTGTGTGTGTGTGTGTGTGTGTAGCATCACTAAGAGCCTTGTTTACATGGTGTATTAGGTATGTGTGAAGAGCTTTAATGCAGTATATTCACCGTGCGCTTTACGTCATTCCTCTGTTGTTATTATTCATCATGGTGGTATGGTGGCGTGTGACTGGCAGTGTGGATGTGTCCTTGCTTTTGTTATGTATACACGATTATTAATATGTGTGTGTGTGTGTGTGTGTGTGTGTGTGTGTGTGTGTGTTTTGTTTATACCCGGGGATATATTGTTAACTAGATATATTTACCAGTAATTACACATACAAACCCGAACCGGTGAAAAACGTACCCACAGAGTCAACAAGGTCAGGATGTCCACTGTGGCCATGGCCCTGTGTGTGCGTGCCAACTGTCTCTTGTTCCATCAGCTGCTTTGAGTGATCTTGCTTTAGTTAACAAGAGAGGGTTAAGTATAATATATATTTGTTCATTACATATTGACTTTTTTCTTTTCCTTTCCTGGTTCCTGTTTGTGTATGTCATAGGTAAGATTAAGCTTAAATCATCCACGAAGCTTAAATCATCCACGAAGCTTATATCATCCACGAAGCTTATATCATCCACGAAGCTTAAATTATCCACGAAGCTTAAATCATCCACTAAGCTTAAATCATCCACTAAGCTTGGGGTCACTTTAGTCTATGTGTAACAGCCATGACAGCTTAGACTCACCCATTGGTTCCCGTGGATGAGTAATTTACCTTATTGAAGTCTAAGTTAAGATTCATTTTATATACTGGCTATTTAATTTGAGTGATGGGGAGGGGAGAGGGGTGTGTGGGGTTGTATAAAGAGTGGTGGGGGGTTAGGAGGGGGGAGGAGTGTTGTATAAAGAGTGGTGGGGGGTGAGGAGGAGGAGTGTTGTATAAGTGGTGGGGTGAGGGGGTGTTGTATAAGAGTGGTGGGGATGGGGAGGGGTGTTGTATAAAAGAGTGGTGGGGGTGAGGTGTTGTATAAGAGTGGTGGGGATGGGGGAGGGTGTTGTATAAAGAAATTGGTGGGGGGTGAGGAGGGAGGGTGTTGTATAAGAGTGGTGGGGATGGGGAGGAATGTTGTATAAAGTGGTGGGGGGGGGGTGAGGAGGAGGGTGTTGTATAAAATTGGTGGGGTGAGGAGGGAGGGTGTTGTATAAAATTGGTGGGGATGGGGAGGTGTTGTATAAAAAGTGGTGGGGGTGAGGAGGGAGGGTGTTGTATAAGAGTGGTGGGGATGGGGGAGGAGGGTGTTGTATAAAAAGAGTGGTGGGGGGTGAGGAGGTGTTGTATAAAGAGTGGTGGGGGGTGAGGAGGGGGGTGTGTTAGGGGTTACATACAGAGTGGGGATGTTAACCTTGTGTGATTATTATTATGGTGTCTTGATATTACACCTGTACACTTTATTATTCAGAGAGAGAGAGAGAGAGAGAGAGAGAGAGAGAGAGAGAGAGAGAGAGTTGACACTTCATTCTGCTGTGCGTGTAGAAAGCTCCCTGCATAGTCGTCACCTTAGAGAAAGTTGTGTGTTTTCCTGAAATAGATGACTTTCACAGTACCTCACATCACCTCATAGCACCTCACAACACCTCCCAGCACCTCACAGCACTTCATAACACCTCACAGCACTTCATAACACCCCACAGCACTTCATAACTCCTCATAGCACTGTACAACACATCACAGCACTTCATAACACACCACAGTACTTCACAGCACCTCATAGCACCAGGTTCATTTTCATCAGTGTTTGTTTATTTTGGTTGGGGTGGTGATTAGGTTAGGTTAGGTTGTTAGACGTGTATTTGTGTAAGGCTTTGGTACTTTGAGGAAATTTTAGGATGTTTATTTTGTTTAGTGGTGTGTGTGTGTGTGTGTTATAATTCCGGGTCACAGCTCCTTGTGTGTGTGTACCTGTGTTTGTCTTTAACTTGCAAAAAAGTGTTGGTTGTTGACGAAGTTGTGTTCAGTTGGTAGAAGTTTTGTGTTGGTAAGTTTGTCTCACACGCCGCGTCTTGCATGAAAGGTGAGCAATTGGTAGGCGACACACACACACACACACACACACACACACACACACACACACACACACACACACATACACATATTTACACTGACTTTTAACACGTAGTCTTTAGTCAGCCTTATATTCAGTGTCGAGACTTTCCTCAGCTATAAGCTAACATGATTCTCACAATATATATTTTTTAATATATTTTCACATTAACATTAATTTATTTTGTATTATAATCTGATATTTTAATTAGTTTTTTATATATAAATTTATATTAACATTATTAACGCATTCTAATACCGCCAATGGTTTTAAATCATATTTAAATAAGTCACAATTTCACCTCAGTATTGGTAAAGTATCACACAATTACGTCACACATTTGTAATTTCACAGTGTTTTTTGTTATGGGTGAAAATATCTCCAAACGTCAGCACTTATGATCCATGACTTTCTTTTTGGCAGATCATTCTTTATAATGCACAACAACACGGTGGTTTTCAGTGCCGAATTTGTGGTAGAGAGAGAGAGAGAGAGAGAGAGAGGTCGTGGTGTTGGTATGAGAGAATGTCTTGTCGTGTTACCTCTCTCTCCACTCCCTGGATTCACGAAGATGCGAACGACGTAAACTTTCTCTCGTAACTGAAGGTGTAACACTGTATACTTAACGAGACTACGACTGAGGGCTAAGCTATATGCCTATAATAACGTTCTCAAAATGGTATCCAAACTTCACTGGGATTTTGACCTCAAGTAAAATACGTTCTCTTAATGCCCTGAAGCAGCTTGGTGAACCCCTGAGGCATTGGGAAGGCATGTGTGTGTCTTATGATAAAATGCCTGTAGTGAAGGTAGAGTCTTGTGTCATTTGGAGGCAGTTTTTTAGGACGTTATTACACACACACACACACACACACACACACACACACCACTGAAGCTGGATATTTTTTTCTGTTTTAAATTGAAATGATGATGATAAGAATTGTAGCCCTGAAGTGTATAGAGAGTCTTAACTTAAATTGGTTTGCCTTTTATCGTGTGAGTGAAAGCTGTGTGTGTGTGTGTGTGTGTGTGTGTGTGTGTGTGTGTGTGTGTGTGTGTGTGTGTGTGTGTGTGTGTGTGTGTGTGTGTGTGTGTGTGTGTGTGTGTGTGTGTGTGTGTGTGTTTGTTTTTGACCATTATCTCTGTAAGTATGTTGATCTGTTCTTATCTCTTCTTCGTCCTTCTGTAACGTGCGTGTGTATATCTCCTCCCATCCTCCCCCTCCCTCTCCCTGCCCTCCTTCCCTCCCTCTCCCATCCCTCCCTCTCCCCTGCCCCTTGCCTGGTGTGTTGGTTAGAGTAATTTAGTCTAATAGCGATTGCGCAACTAAGTTTAAGGCGTAGATAAATTGAGTCCTAGCTTTCTTGATTGACGTCCTTAGAAAGCTTAATTAGATGTCCAAGCTTTGTAGTTCTTTTATATATCATTAAGAACGAGTACTAGACTAACTCTTGTTGTCGTTTTTCTTATTTGGTCAAGTTTTTTACAGTTAGCTCATCAGATGTAAACACCGGAACGTTTATATTCCTCCTAATGATTGCTCTTGTCATTGTGTGGTTGTTGTGGGGGGGGGGGCTGTCAGTGACGCAGGTGATGATGACAGTGTTGCCCCATGCTGGCACACTTTTGTCTTGCTGGTCACGGCTCTTACTGGTGGCAGCCTTCCACTATGGTGCCATTTCACCATGGTATAGCAGCTCTCCACCATGGTAGCAGCCCTCCACTATGGTATAGCAGCTCTCCACTATGGTAGCCAGTATATTGTAAGATGGTAGTTCAGTAATACACACATTATAAACAGTATTTCTTTACAAAGGTTATACTCTGGGTTGCAACAGACGATATGTAGACACGCTACCCTGAAGGTCTTCATCCCAAACTTAATTATCAGTATTTGTGGTGATCGCTGCTGGAGGCCGTTATGGCCCCATTTGTGGCCGTAGATGGTGGCCACGGCCCAGGATTACACATTTATCCTTAAACTTTATATACAAACTGGAAAAATCGAGCCATAACTGGTGGAGGTGTTGGTGTACCGAAGGTTTGTAGCTCTTGTATATTATTTCTCATTGAGGAATTAATGGAAGGTGACGATGACTCTACAGCTTTATGTTATCTTCAGTATGTTAATGATGTTTACGTTTCTCTTTCTCTTACAGGAACTAACGGAGTTGCACCACGAGAACGTTGTGGCGCTGCTCGACTGCAAGGTGAGTGTGAACCACCCTGACGCCTCCTCCCTTCTGTGCCTCATAGCCACGACTCTGAGGACATTTGTCACTCCTGCTGGTTTAGTCAGGATTTGGGGAACATTATTCACTTTTATCGAAGGTATAAGGAAGAAAAGTGTGTGTGTGTGTGTGTGTGTGTGTGTGTGTGTGTGTGTGTGTGTGTGTGTGTGTGTGTGTAAAAGAAAAACAATTCTAAGACGTATCAGATGTATCATGTTGAGCCTCTAAGTTCCACCAGCAGCAGAAACGTGCGCTGAATATCGACGTCTGGTGAATTATCTGCAGGACACACACACACACACACACATACACACACATTCTCGGTCAAGGCGTAGAATCCTAGTGATAACCTTGACCTGTTTGATTGCGCTTCACTTCGCTATTTTGATTCCAAATTTTCTATGGTGACGTGACTATGGGGCAGTTCTAACTATAGTATGTGCTTGTGAGAGTTAAAAGTGTGGTGTTATACTTCACTGTGTTAGTTATTTTACGCCACACACACACACACACCACCCTTTGTTGTGTTCGGGTGGTTATGGTGATGTGTGTTGTGTAACTTACTGTGCGAAGAACACTATGCCAAGTTTGTCTCACCTGTCACCTGTGTGGTAAGAAGGATAGGCATCTTCCCTATTCACAAACACGACGTAATATACACAAGGAAGTGATTCAGTAATAAGTATGTAGAATGATCTCGATAACCATACAGGAAAAGGGAAACACTGAAACACCTTAGTCTTCGTCTTTGTTCTTCAGCTGATCTGACCTGATGTTATGTAAGGTCACCCTGTGTACATAAGCCTCTCTCAGTCCCTGTAAATTCAGTTGCCTCTGAAGATGTCTTGAAAGATGAAGGCTAAGGTGCTTCAGCGTTTCCCTTTTCCTGTGTGGTTTTATCTTGTCCATGTTTCCATTGTGGATCTACATGAAATGTAGAATGATAAGTACTGGTATATAGAATGATGACCATATAAAATGACAGGAATGATTAATGTTCCTTAACCAGAATGTTCTTATCACTAAGACGTACAACATGAAGGAAAAATGTGAATGACATTACGCAATCGAATGAGTTAAGTAGTGAAAAAATAGATTTTTTTTATCAGGGTTCATACAAAAACAAGATAAGAACGAAGAAAAGTGTGTAAGATAAGAGTGTAATGGACCGTAGTGATGTCAAACGCACCTAAAACGTGATCGTGTATTTGTAAAAGCTATACAGTCACTCCAAAAACTATCTGTACTTGGGGTGATCGATGAATTTCACAATGAACACTGTGACTCCCGTTGTCTCGGTAGGGTTGTCAAAATCCCTCATCCATTGTGTCATATTTTTTCAACATAATTTTGTATGGATAGTGTTTTGAGTAACTGTACTCATCCACCCACCCATCCCCCCCACACACCCACCCACCCATCCCCCACACACACCCACCCACCCATCCCCTCACACCCCCACCCACCCACAACCGCATCCAGCCCATACGTGCACGAACTGATCGCTATAAGAACAGCCCAGTCCCAACCATTGTAAAAATTATCAATAACATGTAATAAATCAGTGTATTCACTCCCGGTAAACACTGCTCCTTACACTGTCACTATGTTGAAATGAACTGTAGTTTGAGCTGATCCCCATCTAAGTTATTATATGTCTTATTTGTGTCACTTATGTTACTTGTATATTATTTGTAATTCGTAACCCATTCCCCAAATATGTAACTGTAAATTTTCAGCCTTCTGGCTGCCAAGCTCTTCAATAAACCGTTAATTACATATATTACATATCCATCCCTCACACCCCCACCCACCATATCCCTCACACACCCACCCCCACCCCCCCAACACACCCACCCACCCCCACACACACACCCACCCACCCCCACACCACACACTTACCCACCCACCCCCCACACACCCACCCACCCATCCCACACACCCACCCATCCCCCACCCCAACACACCCACCCCCCACACCCCCACACCATTCCACTTTCACACACACACCCACCACCCACACACCCACACACACTGACATCCACAGTATATAAAGTGAATCTGAACATCCACATTTATTCAACGATTCATCTAATTCACATGGGCAAGATTGTGTAACGTGTCTGGAGAATGTTGGCAGCGACGTAGATAATGTTGGCACGGAAGTGATGGACTATTACGCGGTGTCTTCAATTAGAACTTTGTGTGGGCTTAGGTGTGTGTGTGTGTGTGTGTGTGTGTGTGTGTGTGTGTGTGTGACCCCTAACTTCACCTTTAGAGTTTGCATCACCATCACGTTCTCTAGTAAACAATGTATCACTCCCCACACCTCCCCCCTCCCCCTCTGGTACACCATGCTGTAATATCATACGCCCCCACCACACACACACACATGTAAGTACTCTACAGGTGTGTGTGTGTGTGTGTGTGTATGGAACATGACGTGAAGTACCAGCGGTTGATGTTTTCATTTTCAGTTGCGTAAGAGTTGTAGAAAAATTACGTTCCTTAACTCATTGACAATTAAGTTGTGATAATAATGGTGTGTGTGTGTGTGTGTGTGTGTGTGTGTGTGTGTGTGCATGTGTGTGTGTGTGTGTGTGTGTGTGTGTGTGAAAGCTTGATCTATTATAATGACAGTGGAAGTAATATGCCCTGCATGACGCTCGTTACTTTCATTACAACTTTCTCTTGAGTCAGACCTGTAATAGTAGTGCTTCGGGGGTGGGGGGGTGGAGGGGGAGGGGGAGGGGGAGCAGAGGTGGAAATAGTAGGTGGAGGGGTGGTAGAGGTGGAGGTAGAGTGTGGAGTAGAGGTAGAGAAGTTCAAGAGTAATACCACCCTACTTGATACTGTATTAACCCTTTGTATTCCTGTTTAAACCCCCCCCCCCACCGCCCGGACTCATGTCTTCACCTTTACCTCACTTGTTTGTAATTTACGACTCGGTAATAAGAACACTAGTGAGGTGGAATTGATACCTAGGTGAGAGAAAGTGGGAGAGGTATCAAGGCAATGATCTAGTATAGCGGTACAGGTGGTGTGGACAGGTGAGGTGAGGAACATAAGGCAGCCCCCACGCGTAACCACCCGGTCACTGACATTCTCTTCCACACACACACACACACACACTCTTCGTTAAACTACCTGGTGGGTCACGTGACTTTTCAACTTTGTGAGGGTTGCCAGCTTGTCTATGGTTAAAGTTGAAAGGGCTTAATCACGTCGTTTTTTGTTATTATTTTACAAGATTTATTTAAATTTTTAACCTAACCTAATCCTCCTGCGGGAACTCTGGAAAGTTTCAAAAGGAGGCTAGATAGATTCATGGATGATAGAGAGTGGTAGTAACTCTCGACAGGAGCTGCCATGCACAGGCCAACCGGCCTATTGCAGACTCCTTATTTTCTTATGTTCTTATGTTCTTATGTACACCCTTTGCCCTCCCTACCCCTTTCCCCTCCCTACCCTCTTTCCCCTCTCTACCCCTTTCCCCTCTCTACCCCCTTTACCCTCTCTACCCTCTTTCCCCTCCCTACCCTCTTTCCCCTCCCTACCTTTTACTCCTTACTCCTTCCTCCCTCACCCTCTTCTTCCCTCCCTATCTCTCTTCCCTCCCTACCCCCTTTCCTCCCTCACCCCCTTTCCCTCCTCCTCACCCCCTCCTCCCTCCCCCCTCAGGTTCAGAGACACGACATCTCTGGTGTACTGAAGTGAACCCTTTCACGTCATGGAGGGTGGAAACTTGTTCTTAATCTATTTCTTATTATTTGACTTTATTTTTATTTCTTGGACGACGAACCTGGTGTAAGACAGTTCACTGACAGAAGAAACTCCTTAACCTCGTGCCTGGTTCATCAGAGGCTGAGATAACGGAAAGAACATTACGCAAGGAAAGAAAAAATAAAGTAAAGTCACTGAGGTGGGGAAGATGTTTGCTTCCAGTACCTGTATGTGTGTGTGTGTGGGGTGGAGTCAGCTGTTCATTCGGTTTGTTTATGTGATCAGCTGGTGGAGTTCACCGGACGAGTGAGGCCTCTCTCGCGTGTGAGGTGGTTCTATCAGGGTTTGTGGCCACTGTGTAATCCTGCTACCCTGTAATACTACCACCACCACTACCACCATTTTTTACCTCTCTTCACCAATCCAGTACCACCACTACCATTGTCACTGTCACCTCTGCACTCCAATCACCATTACCACCATTATCACTATTTCCTCCCCCCCCCCACCTCTCGTTACCATCACAACCACCATCACCACAATTTCCTCCTCCCTCCCGCCTATCCCTACCACCGTCATCACCACCACAACATATATCCCCATCCCCTCCGTCACCACCTCAATCACCATTACTACAACTACCACCATTTCCTTCTCTCTCCCTCCCCTCGTCACCACCACCATTTCCTCCTCCCTCCCCCCGTCACCACCACCACCACCACACCAGGTATCCAGAACACAGGTAGGAGCTAATAACAAAAACCATCGTGTTATTGTGGTTGAGTGAAGGAGAGGCAGCGCTTGTTGTGCATCCCTTATGAGAGGTCACTAGTCTTCCCCAAGGTTCCTGTCTGGCTCCCTCCCTCTTTGTCCTTCTTCTTCCTCTTTGCCTCTTTTTCTCCTGCACTTATTTCCTTCTTGTTTCTACTGCTCTGTCTCCTCTTCCTTCTCCTCGCTGCTGCCCATCACACTGTCACCTCCATACTGCCTCTACCACGCTACCTCCACCACACTACTACCACCACACTACCACAGTCAAACTACCACCGCCAAACTACCACCACTGTTGGCCGCCAAATATTTGTGTTTGCAAGGGGGGGGGGTCACGGCATTCAAAGTATATGAAGTCTCTCTCTCTCTCTGTGCCACCACCACCTACGCGCTAGGTGAACTTGTGACGACCAAGAACTGCGCAGCTGTAGCAGGTGTTAGTTAGCCAGACAGGTGTGTGCAGGTGTCACGCTATACGCAGGTGTGATTCTCGACACGTGTTGGCGGCGTCCCATTAACCTGCTTGTGAGGGGTTGTCTTATCTTTGAGGAATTATCGAATCACTTAAACCTTTGAGTTGAGTTTGTTTCTGTTTGTTCGTTGTTGTTTCCTCTTCTTCTTATTATTATTATTATTATTAGTAGTAGTAGTGTGTGTGTGTGTGTGTGTGTGTGTGTGTGTGTGTGTGTGTGTGTGAGAGAGAGAATTGGTACAACCTAACATTTAAATATTCCACGTAAATTTTACTTCAGGAAAAAAAAATCGAATAAACGTGTGACAAAATTTTCTTTCATTCCGAGAAAAATATTATACAGTATAGTTAACTCACACGTGAAGTATATTTCTATATTTCTTGTTAAAATGTTAATGTTGGTAATTTACACAGATACCTCGTAGTGTGTTGATTAATGAGGTGTGTTTGTGTGGTGAGGTGATGTGTGTGTGTATGTGTGTATGTATATAGTAAGCGCACAGGGTGTAGATAACGTAGGTGTGTCTATAAAGTAAAGCGTAGTTAATTCAAGGACATTGTTGTGTGTTGTCTGGGTGCAGCGGGCGGCCTCCTGTTGGTGGTAGGTGGGCGGCCTTGTACGCCCCACGACGCCCTACGCTCTGTCAAGGTCTTATCCTCACACGTGCAGTAAGGACCAGCCCACTGATGGCTCCTTGTGATATCCTAGGAGTCCTCTACATTGTTGGGTCCTTATGCTAACCTTGAAGTCCTTTACACCCTATCCTACTGTGCCCTATCCTCCCCTACCCTACCTCACCCTACCCTACCCCACCCTATCCACTATGTGTTTACAATGCTTTGAGAGGAAGTTATAGGCTAGGGAAGGTAGAGTGCTGCTTAACTAATATCCGGTAGAGGTTCTGCTAAGTGGGGGAAGGAGGAGGGGGAAGGATAAATTGGTTAGGAGGGGAGGGAAAATTAGATTGGGAGAGGAGGGAAGAGGAGGGGGAAGTTAGGCTGGGAGGGTAATAAATGTGTGTTTTCCTTCCTGTTGTTTGGATGCCCTCCCCCCTTCAGGCCCCCCCCTACCCTTCCCCATTCCTCAACCTCCTCCCCTTTCCCAAGTCCTTCCCCCTCCTCCCACCTACCCATTTCTTACCCCCATCCAAGCCTTCCTCCCTCCTTTGTCAAACCCTCACCCTCATTTCTCTCCCCAGCCCTCACCCTCATTTCCCTCCCCAGCCCTCACCCCCATTTCTCCCCAGCCTCACCTCCCCTCCCCAGCCCTCACCTCATCTCCTCCCCAGCCCTCACCCCATTTCCTCCCCCAGCCCCTCACCCCTCATTTCTCCCCAGCCCCTTACCCCATCTCCTGCCCAGCCCCTCATTTCCCCCCCAGCCCTCACCTCATCCTCACCCTCATCTCCCCAGCAGCCTCACCCCCTCCCACCTCACTCCCTCCCCCAGTCCACCCCCAGGCATCCCTCCCCCTCTGTTTACACCCACAGCTTCAGTAAACACCAACCGCCGTGACCCAAGCTGGTGAAATGAGGCCCCAAGCTGACCAACTTGTCCTCCACCCAACCTGAACTAACCATTATGCACTGGGAGCCGGTCGTTAATAGCTCGCTGTGACCTACATAGTGTGTTGGTATGTCATGAGGCAGAAAGATGGTGTGTCACCTGATAATTAAACACGTTAACGTACCTGGGTGGGTTAGGTTAGGTTAGGCAGTGAGAGGGGTATCATGGTCTCGTGAATAGAATTGGGACAACGAAAGTTAGGTTTTTGGAGTTTGTGAAGTGACCTATTTTACCTGGCCACTTTAGGGAGCCATGAACGCCTCTTTAACCCTTTCTGAATGCCCCCAAATCTCGACAGAGGTAGAGTGAGTTAGGTGATGAGGATAGATTTGGTCGGATAGGTCGGTGTTGTCTGCTAATGGCCAGTTTGGTGTGGAATCCTGAGAGAGATGTCGGGGGTGAAAGAGAGAAAGTTGTTCCCTTGCCTGTAAACAAAGTGTGTCAGACCAGGTGGACAGGTCTTATAAAGGGCTTCCTCTTGGTCACTCAGCCATTGTGGATTTTGATAATAATATATTGTTTATTTCAGTCTTGCTTAGAACTTGTACGATAAAATGTTACGGTACTTTCTTTTTAATCTATTAAGTGTAAATACCTTCTTGTATCTGATTTTATGTGTATTATTAGAACAAAGGATTTATTGAATGCGTTTCCTGTTGTTGTCTCTTAATGCTTTTGATTATCTTACTAAAGTTTGTTCTTATTTCTTTACAGGAAACCGCCAACCATGTGTTTCTCGTGATGGAGGTGAGTGTGTGTGTCGTCACCCTGGTGGAGTGAGAACCCAGTTGTTAGGGCTCACGATACAGTCAGTGAGGTCGGGAAGAACTAACTAACTACCTTGTTCAGAGGTCAAAGTCACACATCTTGGGTATTTGTTTAAGTTCAGTCCTAGGTGTTGTTGTTTACTTTCTTCCTTTGCCCCGAACTGTTGCCAGGACACCCCCCCTCTGACCTGAGTGACCATTGTCGTCGTTATTCCAGATTTTTCCCCTAATGCTTCGGATTTGATGTTTTCATGACCTTTGACCTGATATATCCTGGCTTCCTGACCTGACTTATCATGGTTAGAACTTTTGGACAAACGCTTTTGGCCTTTAGAGATGCAAATCAGTTTTATTGTTGAAATTGATGATATTACTGTACAAGAACAATATACAGATGACGTTAATATTAGACACCCCAGCTTACTACACCACCCTAACCTGACCTGACCTGACCTGACCTGACCTGACCTGACCTGACCTGACCTGACCTAACCTAACCTAACCTAACCTAACCTATTACTTAACCTAACCGAGACACTAGACAGATGAATCATCACTATCACCGCTTGGGAATTACTATACATGGAACTTTTTGATAATTTTGTGGTAATAACTCTGACATTTCACTCTTGTTCTGTTTTACTAATGGATGGGAAGTCCTTTACACAAATGTCATGACGTCCACTTTGTTTTGAGATCTTTGTCTATCATACGTCACTTCCGTTCTTATTTAATTACTGTTTTTTCCTCTAGTTAATGATTTGTTGTTGTTATTGTTAAGTTCACCAACCTTTAGAACACCTCTGCTACACTCTACGGTATGTTAAGTTTGTTCTCCACGAATCCTTTAATGAATTTAGAACTGTTAACATAACCTACCGTCAGGGGGGCCAAGATTGTAAACATAGTAAAATGACGTCATATCTAATTAATTCTTCTGATGACTTTCCAATTGAATCCAGAGTTATGACGTCACTCTTGTTGGCATTTCCCGGCTGTAACTCCAACGCTCTCCGATAGGTGGCACTCTTGTTGTGTTTTATTTTTGTCATTTAAAACACAATGACTTTTTATGCGGATTTTCCCAGAGACAAATTTGGGGGTAATTTTTGTAACGTAATTTATAGGGTTTTGGTTTTGGTGTAATTCACGGTTTCGTCATCAGGGAGCCAAGCGTGAGAATATTTTAGTCTCACGGTGTTACATTTTGATACACTGCTACGTGGGTTACTTGGGTTGTCTTATTACTATTATTATTATTATTATATGGCCTTAGCCTACGATTTATCACGAGGCTGAGGCATTAGTCCTATGACATATTGTCTTCTGTGTTAATTATACCGTTAGGCAAATCGTAGTGAGGGTGGTGAGGGGGGGGCGAGAGTGGTGAGGGGGGATGAGAGGTGATAAGGGTAGTGAGGGGGACGAGATGTGGTGGGAGGTGGAGTTTTTGGTGGCCGAACTTAGTGCAAGGAAAAGATGGTTTACATGACGCAACGCCCTTGTACCATTACCATGAAGGAGGGTAGGTATCTCTCTCTCTCAGGGCTACTGTACACGCAGGTTGAAAATAGAGGTATTGGTACAGTAATGCCGGTACAAAATACTGGTGCCGGTACAGTAACTTAACTATGTATTTAAATAGTTACGGTACAGTATATTATTAAGTAGTGTGTGTGTGTGTAGACAGCTTTAATGATCACGTACACATGTCTATACTGCAACGCCACATCATTTAATTTCCTATAGTTTCCCCTCTCATTTATTTTATCCTCGTTTTCTTCTCACTATTTCTACTCTTAAAAAAGTAGCCTTCCGGTCTTATTTTCATTTCCTCTTCAATTTTTTCTGGTTTCCAGTTATTCCTTCTTCTTTTTCCTAATTTTATCCTTAATTTCCTTGTTGTACACCCCCCCCCACCCCGTCTTACCGCCAATAGCAGGCTCAGGCAGCCATCACGTGAGAGGCAAGGATGCGTCACGTGTAGAGGGCGTGCAACTCCACCTCACCAGCCACCACAAAACAAACACACACAAACACCTCATCCGTGCTAGTGGGTCAGCTATTGCCATTGACTACCTCGCCAGTCTGCCTCTTTACGCATTTTTTTAGAATTAGGTCAGGTCAGGTCAGGTCAGATCATCATCAACCCTCACAATCAACACTCACACCTAGGGAGACAATATGGACGGCATTGCACTCTACACTTCTCACTTCCTCATCTGTAAAGTTAGGTACCCGTTCTACTGCTGTGTCGAGTTAGAGGTTCCTTCTTCAGCTGGCCTTGGTGTCAGAGTCTGTATCCACCCAGCCTTAAAAAAAAAAGTCTGGGATAAACAGTAGAATATGATGTGATGAAGGACTTGACTTGTTTACATCACCCTCCTCCTCTTACTACTCTTCCTCTTCCTGCAATACCCCTCCTCAACCCACCCTCACGACCCACCCCTTAGACCCATCCTCACGACCCACCCTCTCGACTCACCCACTCAACGTCCCCCTCGACTCACTCTCACCCCTAGACATACTCCCTAGACCCACCCCTAGACACCCACTCAACCCACCCCCTAGAGTCCCACCCCTCTCCCTCCCAGCACCTCAAGGTCAGTGCCCTCTCGAGAGCGTCTGTCTGCGTCTCCGTAGTTGGAATGTAGCTGGCTGGTGAAACACACACACACACACACACACGGAGTTAACCTTTCGAATGGCCCGACAGAAGTGCGTATTACTACCAATAGAGCTGGACTGGAGGGATGACTTGTTCTGTAGTTGAAAGTGTTGAATGTAAATGAACCCAACCAAGGCTTCTGTAGTAGTTGTTGTAGATGTTATAGTAGTAGTGATTGTTGTTGTGGGGAAGAGGAGGAGGAAGAGGTGTTGTTTTTGTTTTTAGTAGTAGTAGGAGAAGGTTGTAGGTCGTAAAAGGTAGTTGTTGTTAGTGAGAGTGACAATACTAATAGTAATTGTATCATGTTGTTGTTGTTCATAGTAGTAAGTAATAGTAGTGGCGGTGTTGTTGTGGGTGGGTGGTGGGGGGGTAGTGTGTGTCAGGAAAGTCACTCTTGGTGGAGGTACCATGATGTGCTGACCTGCTACATACACACTACTTATGTGTGTGTGTGTGTGTGTGTGTGTGTGTGTCCTCCTCCTGTGTATATATACGAAATTGTTTCCATCCGTGTGTCCTTAGTTACCGTCCGTGTCCTTAGTTACCGTCCGTGTCCTTAGTTACCGTCCGTGTGTCCTTAGTTACCGTCCGTGTGTCCTTAGTTACCGTCCGTGTGTCCTTAGTTACCGTCCGTGTGTCCTTAGTTACCGTCCGTGTGCCCGTTTTTTCCCAGAGTTAAAAATAAGAAAACTCAAAGAAAGACCTCATGTTTAGGATAACTTAGCAGGAGCTTTATTGGTGGGGCGTTTGTGAGGGTGTGGGGCAGGGGCGGGGCAGGGGCGGGGCGGGGCGGGGCGGGGGCGGGGGCAGTGACGACGGTACAGAGGAGCCAGAAACTCACTTGGTAATACATTGTAACCTTGGAGAGTACAGTGGAGGTGTAGTCAGCTGGTGGAATTGTTAGGATAATTGTGCACATCCGCTTAATGTTGGCGCCTGTAATTAACTTTACCTGACTTAACTCACTTTAATTTAGCTCAGCCTAACTTAGCTCATCCTAACCTAACTCAGTCTAACCTAACCATACCTAACCTAACCAAACAACTTACTCTTGACGTAAACAAAACAAACACGCAATTTTATCTTAGAAAATCCAGGTTCGTTTCCGGGAATTAGTTTGGTCCGACTGCCAAAAGACGGAATTAATTTTAGATCAAGTTCACCCCCGTGGTCTTGGACGTAAACAAACTAGGGGTAAGTCACTGGTGTTTCTTATCAGTCGATGAGGAAAATATAAATTAACGTGGCGTAGTTGGCGATGTTTGCGTAGTTGGCGATGTTTGCGTAGTTGGCGATGTTTGCGAAGTTGGCGATGTTTGCGTAGTTGGCGATGTTTGCGTAGTTGGCGATGTTTGCGAAGTTGGCGATGTTTGCGTAGATGGCGATGTTTGCGTGAGTTGACTAAGCTCTTATGAAGCACTTGTAGATTAAATACTGTGCCTCTACTACCAGCTTATTTCACTTTCAGATTAACCTAACCTACCCTAACGTGACGAAGAGTGCGGGGAGATATGATAGAAGTATTCAAGTGGGTGAAAGAAATCAATAAAGGTGATATAGATAAAGTTCTTATAATATCCGAGCAGGATAGGACTCGGAACAACGGATTCAAGTTGGATAAGTTTAGGTTTAGGAGGGAGATAGGAATGAACTGGTTTACAAATAGGGTGGTGGACGAGTAGAACAAGCTTAGCAACTTTGTAGTAAGTGCTGGAACGCTGGAAAGTTTCAAAGGGAGGCTGGATAGATTCATGGATGATAGAGAGTGGTAGTAACTCTCGACAGGAGCTGCCATGCACAGGCCAACCGGCCTATTGCAGACTCCTTATTCTTATGTTCTTATGTGACCTAACCTAACGTGACCTAACCGAACCCCTTTTATTTCACCTTAAGATTAACCACCCTAAAGCTAACCTAACCTAATCCCAGGTAACGTTAGTGGGGTTAAGGTTAATCTTTGGTGAAATAAGCATGGAGAGGTCTAGCCTTCAGGTGTTTCATCGACTCGTAAACAGTGCTGAGTTAGGTTAGGTGTCAGTAATCTCGTTTCACTCCGTAGGTAAATGCCGACTCGTTAACCTTTTATCAATATCATCATCGTGAGGCGGTAACCATGGTGATAGCCTTGACCGTATAGCGAATTGAAAGCCTGCAAGATATAGTGATGATTCATGGTAAACGTTATACTGATCACGTATGTATATGTGTAACGAACTGAACACCTGGCCAATGACAACACACTTCTTGTATTGATATTAGGAAGCGATACTGTGATTGGTTAGGTTGAGTTGGGTTGGATTGGGTTAGATTGGGTTAGGTTAGATTAGTATACCTGATTGTTTAACCATTATTTTCCTACCTGAACTAACTAAATTGGAATGTTTTTTACCTTAGAACAGAAAACAAGTTTGATTTTATAGTTCATTCACGGCTCAAACGCGTATTTAATCCCCAGTTCACTTAAACATAATATCCAAATGCTTAACATTTTTGCTACAGATTCGAAAGAGTTGATGTAGAACGTAATTTACATACTGAACATCGTCACACTGTCGGGTCAGCAAAATATTTCACTTGTCACTTTCCCTAACATAATTTCCTTTTCTCGTTGCAGTACTGTAATGGCGGTGACTTAGCGGATTATCTCCAAGGTAAGTGTACGATACTTCCACTTAGATTACTGTCACTTGAATGTTGAAATGTTTTGATTAATAGTTCACCGTAGAGAGCTGGTGTAAACATCCTCTCCATTGATAGGATAAACTGGGGTAAATAAAGCTTAGATGTGTGTTGTGTTTAATTACAGGTGTGCAAGGTGTGGTAGGAGAGTGGGAAAGGTGGATGGGTGTGGTGGATGGGTGTGGTGACTGATGTGGCCTAGTTAAGTGGAGTTGTTGATTTATACATACAGGTATATAGAGATAGATTTTATTTTATAGAGTTATATGTCTCTCTCTCTCTCGAAACACGTGTTGTGGAGAGTAAACAAGGTTGTAATTTGATTGTGTTGGTGAAGGTGATTATGTGGCAGTAATGGTGGTGATTGTGGTGGTGGAGATGTTATAGTAGGAGTAGTAGTGGAGTTGTTGTGGTAGTGACAGGTCAGTGTTGTGGTTGGCTGACGTGGTGTTTACTCCTTCTCCTTTGGGATAAGGGACACCACGTGCTACCTTTCCTTGGCTCCACGCCCTGACCTACTACTCACACGTCACACATACTCTCCCCTCCCACTACCATCACCACTATCACCACCACTACAACCACTATCACCACTATCACCATCACCACTATCACCAGTACCTACTTGTTAATATGTTTTCCTGCTAATCATCTACCACCCCATCTTTACAAACTGGTAGGGAAAGAAAAATGAACATTATTGCCATCTGGATTATTTAGTTACATTAAAGGACGATCTACTTAATCAGGTTAATAAAATGATCTTGTTGTTGTAGTCTTGAGAAGCTAATGGTGTTGTAGTTGTAGTGTTGTTTATGTAGTAATTTCTCTTTATTTATGTATTTCAGCCAAGGGGACGTTGAGTGAGGACACGATACGCTTGTTCCTCAGTCAGATGGGTAAGTATTACTGACTAACGCACTCAGTATACACACTCCACACAGACTCATTATACGCACTTTTCACGCTCACGCTACACATTCTTCACACTCATTAGACACACTCACATTGGTACATACTAGGCAGTCCCGTTTACACACTTACCCCCGATCGCTCATTATATCCGTCCAACCTATATTTGAAGCTACCCACTTTGTTCGAGTTAATGTTGAAGTTTATTAACGTGTTCCACTAATCCACTACTCTATTTCCTTACACTTCTCACACTACGCTGTACACATCCTCACACTCACTGTACACACCCTCACTATACACACCCTCACTATACACACCCTCACTATACACACCCTCACACTCACTGTACACACCCTCACTATACACACCTCACACTCACTGTACACACCTCCTCACTATACACACCCCTCACTGTACACACCTCACTATACACACCTCACACCCCACTATACACACTCACACCTCACTGTACACACACCTCACTATACACACACCACACTCACTATACACACACCTCACTATACACACCCCACACTCACTATACACACTCACACTCACTGTACACACCACTATACACACCTCACACTCACTATACACACCTCATTATACACACCCTCACACTCACTGTACACACCCCTCACTATACACACCTCACACCTCACTGTACACACCCTCACTAATACACACCTCACTATACACACCCTCACTATACACACCCTCACACTCACTATACACACCCTCACACTCACTATACACACCCTCACTATACACACCCTCACACTCACTGTACACACCCTCACTATACACACCCTCACACTCACTGTACACACCCTCACTATACACACCCTCACTCTGTACACACCTCTACACACACCCCTCACCTCATGCCCTCACACACCCCTCCCTCCTGTACACACCCTCCTCTACACACCCTCCTGCCTCCTATACACACCTCACACTCACTATACACACCTCTACACACCCTCACACTCTGTACACCCTCCTATACACACCTCCACTCACTATACACACCCCCTCTCACACACCCTCCTCCCTCCACCTCTCCCACACTCCACACACCCTCACTATACACCTCCACACTATACACACACTCTATACACACACACTCACTACACACCTCCCTTACACACCCTCCTCACTATACACACTCTCCTCCTACACCCTCACTTACCACCCTCACACTACTCACACCTCACTATACACCCTCACACTCACTGTACACACCTCACTATACACACCTCACACTCACTGTACACACCCTCACTATACACACCCTCACACTCACTATACACACCCTCACACTCACTATACACACCCTCACTATACACACCCTCACACTCACTGTACACACCCTCACTATACACACCCTCACACTCACTGTACACACCCTCACTATACACACCCTCACACAAAACAGATTAAAACCCTCACTCACTAGTTTTCTAGTTAGTATCATAATGGTCATTAATATTGAACTAACCAAATATCAAGGCACTAGCGAGTCGTGGCTAAGTGGTTATCACCTCTCCCTAGCGCTACTGTAGGGTTCGAATCCCGGTAGGGAGCATAATTTCAAGGTATGAATTGTTTTGTTTCCAGCGGAGTCAATGAGAGCGCTGTACGGAAAGGGCATCGTTCACCGGGACCTGAAGCCTCAAAACATCCTCTTAGCTCACGCCGGCAAGCCCAACCCTCCACCTCACCTCATAACACTCAAAATAGGTAAGTGAGAAGCAAGCTTGTCTGTATGTCGCTGTTGTGAGACGTTCATTGGGTGGAGTCGGTGTGTGACCCCCTTTTTCCTACTTCCCTTGAGAGCGGTGAGGTGTGTGTGTGTGTGTGTGTGTGTGTGTGTGTGTGTGTGTGTGTGTGAAGGCTAAAGAAATAACAGTGTATAACCTCAGCACTGACAGTTGGAGGTGAGTCAGTCAGTGTCGGGGACCCTCACCGTCATTACTCCTGGTAACTGTTTATCGTCCACACACACACACACACACACACACACACACACACACACACACACACACACACACACACTCTATCACCTATTTTTATATATTGTTAAATGTCAACAAGAAGAAGTCAACAACACCATCCTAATCATTGTTTTGTGTGTGTGTGTGTGTGTGTGTGTGTGTGTGTGTGTGTGTGTGTTGTACCCGTAGCCAGCTTCCCTCAGCAAACTCTCATTTGTAATCTCATCTCGTGTTTTGTTCATGACACTGACATAGATAAGAGTACCAGAGTGAAGGTGCAGGCAGGTCACCTTAACGGTACTACTTGTAACATGTTGATTTATCTCTGTGTTCCTGTATTTTTGTTTGTTTACACCTGCAGGGCGAGTGACGTGTTCTGGCATGTTGATAGGATCTATGGAGAAGCTCTGATATTGTATTGAAGGTTTAACACTGTATTTTGTCGAAGTAAAGTGAATGGGTTTACTGTGAGTATTCATGTGATAGTCAAAATTAATAACAGTGAATGGCTGAGAGTAATGGTTGTACAGTGTATGATAATGTTGCTTGAAGTGCGTCCTGAACGAATATATGATTTATTCTATTTTATTACGTTATAAAAACTGGAAAGTATTAAAAATATACGAGGTAAATTGAAAAAAAAAACGAATATTTCTTGCAGCAGCCAGAGAGACTAAGTGAAACAAGTGAGGCATGTATGTAGGAGGTGAGTGCAGGTGTCTTGTTATTAGGGGCAGCACATAACTCTCTCTCAATACTTTGTTTACTTTCTCTTAATAATCGCATGCGTTGAGCACATCTTAAAGGTTATTAAAGATACCCATGCCCCTGTACGGACGTTTAATTTCTCTATAGATGCAGCAATGTACGGTATTGAACGGTATCTTGGAGGTCCTTGGTCACTGCAGGAGCGGAGGTGCAAGTCTCTGCTTGTGTTTCATCATTGTTGTGGTCGGGGCAGGACGCCCGCCCACCTGTCCCTGGGTGAAACTTTGAGCGACGAATTGAAAGTTGTCATTAATTCAAAGTTAACTGCTTTTCCTAGATATACGTTGGCAATAATTATACTTGATTATATTGATGTTCATAATAAATATGTTTTAAAATATAACGTGTTCATTAAGTCAGACATTTTCGTATAAGACGACTATATTTTGAAAATATACGAATCATTCTGGGACAGAGAGAGCGTGTGGTGCCGAGCTGTCTGGCGGGTCCAAACTGGTTGTGATAATCGCGTCGCACAATGCCAGCTTTTTAGAGACGCTTCCACGGTGTTGTTAACATTTATTGTTAGATAATGATAATAATTATATTGTTATGTTATAGCGTCAGTTAGTTGTATATTATTGAATGATATTAATATTTATCTTGAATGTGTTGTCAACATTTCGTCATTATAATAATTGTTTTTCTTTACTGTAGACTTAGGTCATGGGTAATGCCACAGTATCACTCTGAACAACTATTTACGCATCATATATTATTTTTATTAAGATCGTAGTTAAAAATGGTAATAATGGATAAGTGGCACCATGACATTTGGCAACTGTGTTTAAAGGTGAGGCGCACACCGTGGTCTAGTATCGTGCATCAGTCAGTCGTCGTCTGCGCTGGTGTGCAGATAGTCCGGTCTCTAGTTCACTGTGCAGTCCCTTTTTCCTATATAATAAGTGACGTAACATTGTGCTTGGTTTATAAAGGACACAGCAACCACTGTCACTAACTATAGAAAGGTGTGAATTGATGTACGTCGTAGCCAAAGTTGTGACCATACATTGATATATTAAGATTCCCAATACATTTAAAAGGTAAGTGTTACAAACTTTAAATGACCTACTTTTATGGTATATTTTTTTTTAGGGTTTGCATATCCAGCGGCTGAGTCCACGTCAAATTTTTGTGTTTGTTTCATTTTCATTGAGGTAACTTTCACTGTTCAACTACGTAGTTCTGGTATAATTTGTAGAGATTTGGGATAAAAAAACCCAACTAAAATACTCCCCTTCCTCCTCCACTTTGTGTCAGGCTATATTCCTTTTAGCAGGAACGAATGGCAAGAGACAGACATCTAGACTCGGCAAAATTTAAAGCTGAAATCAGACACTGTAGCGATGGTGATGTTTATTTCACCGGAGTGCTGAAGGTGTTAAAATCCACCCATGAAAGTTGGCTCTTGCATCACCACATTTTCATCGCCGTTTAGTGACTTTTCACCAAATTAATATCTCCCACAGTGCCCTCAGATGTGTTCTTATTTTGTGCTTTTTTGTGTTCGTGTGTAATAAGAGGATGCTAGTTCGAATGAGGAAGTCGTATTTTCCTCCTTATTTATTTTTACGTACTTGGTGTTAAGTGCTTGTACGTGGGTGTAAGAACGTACCGGTGTCATTGCTTTCTTTAATAACTGGTATGACGGCTTTCATTTTTTTAGACAGGCAGCTTCTTAGATAGCCCACCCGGTCTTACCACCTTAACTGACACCATCGTATAAGTTACCGAGTTAACACTGACATTCTCGAGGCTTCTTAACACTGACAATACTGTATACATTATCCAGTTAACTTAACACTGAACACCGTTAATATTACCAAGTTTACATAACATTAACACCGACGTAAGTTTTCATAGCCTCCAGACAGGAAAATTGCGAGGTTTAGGCCTACTATATACCGTATAGGCCTACATCCCAATAAGCTGAATCATGCACCGTACTACAGTGTGTAAGACCAAGAACGAAATCATTTGAAATTAATAGTAAAAGAGAACGATGTTATGTTAGTTTATGTTAGTTCTTTTGGTCTGCTGCGAAGTGGCTTTTAGATTAATTTTCCCCCACACTTCCCCCAACTTTCCCCTAACCTCTCCCCAACTTTCCCCCACCTTCTCCAAATTTCTCCCACCTTCATCCAACTTTCCCCCAAACTTCCCCACCCACAGGATTTTCATTCTATACACGCCACAAAGGATCTCACCAACCAAAATAACGGCGGAGTTAAACTTAGCCTATACTCTCAGTAACCTTACATGATATAGTGCATTTAAAGATATTTTGAGCTGTGAGTTTGCTTCTGTTTGTCACTGAGGTATAGCCTACTTGTCCGTTTATTTATCATTGCTTATTATCGTCTTTATTGCCTATGCGAGGATTGTGAATAAGGTTAAGGAGTTGGTTGGATTCATTATTGACTTCAATGGCGTTGGATCTGCTTCTACCTTCTTGCTGACTCAATTTATGTGCAGTGTTTTTATTTATTGTGCCATTTAGTACTTACTATTTACGTTTGCCATTAGCTTATGTATATTACACTTAATCGTCTATTGGTGGATGGATTTCGCTCCCACTTAGTGTGCCTTGAGACTGTTTATTGCCCCGAGGAAGTACTGTATTGTATTGGTACTTCATTATTTTCAGGTCTTTAGGTTAACCTTTCATTCTGTGTCTGGTCTTGTGTTGTAGGCGATAAGTGTCATCAAGATATGGTACAGGTGGGGACAAATGTTCGCTCCCTGCGGTGAAACAGAGTCATTTGGAACGGGAATGAATCTTCGAACTGACTGACCCTGACTCTCATCTGGTGCGGGTGTGCTGTTTCCATCTCACTTGGGGTCGATACTGCTTCATTTTCGGAGGGAGCGATCTTTTGACCCCAACTACAATATTTTTCTGTATTTGTGCAGGGATCTCCTACAAACTTTGGTGATAGGTTTGTTATCATTGAAGAAAAATATCTACATTTATTGATCTTCAAGTCTGTAGTTCAGTGGTCAGCGTCAATATAAAGAGTTTTTTTATGTACTGTGTAACCATGCCGGTACTTATTGTAATATTATACCCCCAGCTCTATCCTGTGGTGCAGTACAGAGTATAACGTTTCTTACAAATCTGTTGTATTTTACTGTATGCATTTTTGTACTCCGGATGTGTCGACAACCAAGTGTAATGTATGGCTAATTATAATACATTGCCAGTTCCATTTCTACGGTATATTGATTAATAACTAATTTTTTAACCTCCAGCTGACTTTGGCTTTGCAAGATTTCTCCAAGATGGAGTAATGGCAGCCACATTGTGTGGGTCTCCTATGTATATGGCTCCAGAGGTCATCATGTCCATACAATACGACGCTAAGGCTGATCTCTGGTCATTAGGCACCATTGTGTTCCAGTGTCTTGCTGGCAAGGCACCATTCCAAGCTCAGACTCCACAGGCTCTAAAACAGTTTTATGAAAAGAATGCTAATTTGGCTCCAAGGTTAGTAGCTGTTCATAGTTTGATAGTTTTGTTCTACTGAAGTACATTTTGGTATTGTATATTCCATATGTAAACTGATTCAGTACAGCACTAATATATATTGAAGTAATTTATGAGAAACATGGAATATTCTAAACTTAATCATTGTTTTTATTCTCATACAGTACTGCTAACATACTAGATTGAAACTGTGGAAGAAAGTACCAACATATGTTTTTTGAGGTGACTGTGCTTGGTCTGGATGCATATTCTTAGGGCTCTACACTTGGCTGTGTGTACACGTCCATGAGACTATGTGCCGGATATTGTATTTGTACACATATTCCTACAGTTTCTAGCTTCAGCTTTAAGCACATTTAATCAAGACACATGTACAGTCGTATAGAGCTACATGGTCCTGGGTACATGTGGAGTCATATACATTGTTAAATTTATCTATTTGTACAGAAAAAGTCTCACAGGAAAACAGCAGATTGTAACATGGGAAACAAATAAAAATGAATACCTATATAATGGAAACTTCCTCTCCTCAGAATACCTTCAGGAACATCCGCAGAATTAGTTGATCTCCTCATGGGACTTTTAAAGAGAAATGCAAAAGATCGAATGGACTTTGAAACCTTCTTCAACCACCCATTTACTCGTATGGGAGAGTCCTCAGCTCAGAAGCCAGTTTCAGGTAGCTCATCATCGGTGCCTATGCCCACACCTTCTCCTACACCTGCAGCTACACCCAAGCCTGTGAGTCGTGGAGGAGCATACACACACCACACACAGCCTGCTCCAAGCCCTCCTATTGGTGAGTTATGCTTGTATTTTATTTTGTTTCAAATATCTTCTTTATAAAAGTACTTTATTACTTTATACCTGTAATACATTTCAGATGTTCTTGTTGCTGTTACCTAATTTTGCATAATTATATACTGCCCTGTATTTTTTCAGAACTATATGTTATTTAAAGCTAATTTTTCCACTTATGGCATCTCCACTGTCTTTGAATGAATTGCTGCACAATGTCTTATATCAGACAGACACACTCAAATCTCCAGGCTAATCCAAATGTGTTAGAAATTTGAAATGTAAAATTAGGTTAATATCCCTTTTCAATCAGATTCTAAACATCTTTATTCAATTCCATTTCCGAAAATAGGCAACCTTCCACCATCGCCAGAGGAACTGCGAATGAGCATTGACCAACGCAGTGGGAATGACTTGCCTTCAGCTTCCCCTGTAGCTCCTACCACTGTCTCAAAACCCACCCCAGTACCTCGAACAACTAATGCACAATTACCAGAAGAAGCAGAAGACTTCGTTATGGTGCCAGCCCAGCTCCCTAATGAGCCAGAAGCATCAAGAGTTCCACAAGGGTAAAGATTTTATTTACGGTATTATTTTTTTGGGTACACTTTCAAGCCATTTCCCAAAAGCATACTGGGTGGTTGGAATCAAGAGGAACACATTCTCCCTTACATGAGTTTTCTATTGTTCTTGTTCGCACACTGTGCACATGTTACCTAATGATTTGTTGAAGATCATTTTTTTTTCACTCATAATTTACACCTGTTAAAAGCTCCTTCTTGTAGAGTAACAATGGTGACCCCCCAACATAAACAGTCATGACAAAGTTCAGTTGGGATACATCATGATACCTGCTCCCTCACTCTGCCTCAGTACCTTACTATTAACTCTTCCTAAATCACGACACTCGGATATGTTTTTTGAGTCACTTACCACAGGCATCAAGACTGGATGCCAACAGCGCCTCAATAATTATCTCCATTAAAGTTATTGCAAAGAAAAATCTCAAAGAAAGACTAGGGAGTGTTACAAGATGTGAAGTGTAAATAGAACAAAATAATGGCCATAAAACATTGATAATGATAAATAATGCATTTTAGAAATTTTTTGAATGTAGTTACAGGTATTTGTGGTTTTGTTCTAGGTGGGGTGCACGGATTTTGACAAAGCCCGTGGGAGCTATAGTGTATCAGAAAAATGCTCCACAGTATAGTCCTCTCACACCCCAAATCCCAAGTTCACCCAGGCCCTCTCATCTTCCAGTCCAAGGTAATGTTCCATAGGGTAAATGAAACCTAGAATATTATTACAATTGCAGTGTTGTGCTCGAATTAAGAAAAATATTGGAATTTTTTTCATAGTAATTAACAAGTCCATTTATAATATATCTACACATAGATTTGTGAGTAAACAATATACAGTAATGAGACTTGTTTATGGTTGTACAGGAGGCAGTAGTGGTAGCACACACTCCAGCAGCAGTAGTGAATCTTGTCGGTCTGGGGAGCCCGTCCCTGTCCCATCTCAGCGAGCAACGTTCCACCAGATGACCTCCTCTGGCTCCTCAGATCAGATTTCTGCTACAATTCAACCCGAGTCTCCTAAACATCAGGGGATGTCAACCAGCCGACCTTCACCACCACCACGTTCACAACCCATCAACATGCGAAGAGTGTCAGATCATAAAGCCCCTGATGTTGCTTCATTGTCACCTCCAGCTGTAAGTTCATGTCAGGGATACTGTACAAAGTTTTTTGTTATTATTTATTCAAGCTATAAATGGTTATCAATTTGATATCCTCACTTATAATAATGTTTCTCGACCAAAATTTTTTAAAACTCTTATTGTTACTTTATCAATAGTAAGATACAGTACCTGTACTTAATTATATAAACCCCTTAAATTCCAGTTTCGAGAGAAAGGTATACAGTATTCCCTGTACAGTATATTGGTAAAAAATTACATTTTTGGAGATTTGGGCCCAAAATTGGATTTTGTTAAAAATATCACTATAGGTACTCCTGAGCATGCTGATTCCGAATCTATGGTCCACGATTCGATTGCAGGATAAATAGTGGTCATAATCACATTTGGAATATTTTAATGAAATTTTTTTCAATGCTAATTACTGTACTTGCTAACTGTGGGTTTCCGAGGTGCGATTTTGGTGTTTTTGTGTTATTCTGGAAATACTGTAGTACAGTACTGTACTTGGTACTCTCTAAAAGGTCTTGGATCTCTTATTTTAAATACTGTTTTAGGTTCAATTCACAATTGGTGATCCCCCCATGGGAGGGAGGCGAAGGTCAACTTCTGGAAGCTCTTATTCAACCACACCACCAACCACCGTAGCAGTCACAGGTATGGTTGATTTTTTATGTACTGTACCGGTTTAATTCATGTGGTACTTGGGATTTCATGATTATGTGATTTTATATGAGATGGCATTTGATTGTTTCATTAACATTTCTCTTGTGTTTGGGAAATACTTTTCAATTTTCAAAATGTTTATGTACAAAACATTTACTTTGTATATACTGATATATAATCTATTGAAATATATTTAATATCAGCAGTACTCTACTACTTTACTTAGAGTATAAAATTTAGTGTTACACTTTCCCAAACACCTGTGAGTCTCTTACTTGTAATTAGAATTCACAATACAAATGCCAAATACACAAGTCTGAATCATGAAAATTAAAGTGTTATGCTATATCCTGTACCGTAATACTTTTATAAGAACTCCGTGGGGTATTCTTAGATGTGCTTATTATCGGTACTGTACTTCATCCCCAACTCTTGGAACAGGAGCACTTGGAAGTCCTACATATGATGCCCAGTTCCCATTGTAAAAGTGGGCTGGTGGTATGAAGGGCATCCAGCCATAAAATTTTCTTCAAATTTGTTATCTCAACCAGAACATCATGAGCATTATACAGTACTGTACCGTATGTAGGACTTCCAGGTACCCTATTAGCTGGCAAGACAGTGTGTCCATTCTCTGAAATACTAAAAAAATTACCTACATACCTAAGTGTAGAAGCACAATACTGTAATACAAAATGGTTAAGTGAACAAGAATGACTTCTCATTATCATGAATCATGAACGACACAAATGGGTCCCTTTTATCCGTTTCCCTCTGTTGGAAAGATGTTATGTAGTGACAAACTGATAATAACCAGTTGTTCAAAATACTAACAGGTGAAAAAAATACTGCTTGATTTTTCACTTGGAAAAATTGTTTAATACAGTAATATATATTTTCATTGAACACAATTTATAAATAAATGTTAAGGATTTAAATTGCATTAGTAGAGTTGCTGGAGCCACTTAAGGCACATTTCATATACAGTATCAGAACCTTAAAAAGATCTGTAATTTTTTGTGTTTTTGTCTTACATGGATTTATAGCATTGAAATTTTAGTTTCTGTGGGTAATGTGGGACTGTTGATGAAATGTTGTTTTGAGTAATGGAAGGCAAAATTTCCCACGTCCATTCTGTATAATGTTGGGTGAACATAGCTGTCAGTTGGGGTGCTTTTGTAGTGTGTGTCTTAAACAGTTGTCTAACTGAATTGCATTAGAAATTGTTCACCAGTAGTAAGTACAGTAGTAATATAACAAGGGCTTTGTTGTGCTGCAGGTAACACCCAGGTGATCCAAGGAGGTCGCCTCACCCCCACCAACTCACCCTTACGTCAGTCTGGTCGTCGTACACCTCCCTACATGCCTCCCCAACTATTTTCCACCCCCCCTGTGCTGCCCCCCATCCTGGGATCTCCCACAAAAATAGGTCTTGGTCAAGATAATCCTGCAGGAGACATCTGTGGGAACACTACCAACCTGCCTCCCACAGCCCCACACCGTGCTATCACACTCCCCGAGATGACCTCTGTTTCACGTGACCTCTTTTTGGGTCAGTAAGGGTTTGCCAACATAGAAGTCACATGCTTCACTGTGTTTTGTGTATTGTTATTGTGTAAGCTTGAAAATTATTTGTTTCATGTAAAATATCTGTTCGTTTTGTTGAACTTGGAAGAGATTTGTGCTGTATTTTGTATTAAGTGTCTGCCACCATATTATGGGTACTGTATTGATAATTTATCTAGCCACCACTCCGTCTGTGAATAAGATACTGTATTGTACTGTACTTACCAAAAGTATTGTGTATATATATATATATATATATATATATATATATATATATATATATATATATATATATATATATATATATATATATATATATATATATGTGTATATATATATGTATATATATATATATATATATATATATATATATATATATATATATATATATATATATATATATATATATATATATATATATATATATATATATATATATATATATATATATATATATATATATATATATATATATATATATATATATATATATATATATATATATATATTATACAGTACAGTATACATATATATACATATACTTACAGTATATATAAAATTCAAAAAAAAATTCCTTCAAATCTTGTGTTTTCCACAGGTGTTACACAAGATATGAGTGTAGAAAGTAGTGGACTTCAACGATCACGAACAGAGTCTCATCTTTTAGAATGTGTAGCTCGTGGTGCCAGTCCCCCCAACCCTGGGAGGTACGGTCAGTCAGCACCAGCATTCCTTCTACAAAGCCACCCATTGAGTCAGGGTGATGGACAAGATACTGTAGCTTTCTATGCACCTCCCCTTCATCAAGAAACATTAATGGAGGTAGTTAATAAAACCACTTGTACTGGTTATATTGTGTAGCCATTTGTGTTGATGAGAGCAATTTTTTGGTAAAGATATTCATGTCTGTTAGTAAATATAAACTCGGTTATTAATTGATGACATATTTAAGATATTATTAATCTATATCTGGTGTATATTAAAATCTTTAATGCTAACAAATGGTAAAGTTCCCCCCACACACACGTGTAGCTAATGATTCTTGTCTCTCACCAGCGCGAACACAATGAAACATTAGCGAAGCTCAACTTCGTGCTCGCCCTGGTAGACTGTATCCTAGAACTGGCCCGCTCCAGAGCCGCACCAATCACAGCCTTACGACAAAATGCAGCCATGAGAGAATCGATGTCAGGAGGTAAATTTCCTTTTCCATCTGTTATCTTCTCTTCCACATTTGTATGGGATGAATTAGAGAGTACAGATAATTGTATTGTTTTATTCTTATTTAGATATTGTGCCTTATTTATCTGTACCTATAGTAGAGCATTTGACTTGTAGGAGGTTGTTCAGTTGTCAATCTATCTGTAATGTCCTGTGTAGACAAATGAAAATAAAAATGTAAATTAACTCATTGACTAATATTATTGTGTATCGCTTCCATTCACTGTATATGATATATTTATTGGGTTAAATCCATATCTACTTTTGCAAAAAGGAAAGAATTCAAGAGTTTCTTAAGTAGAATACCCACAGCTGTTGTGAGGTTGTTGTAAAGTAGATGTGTATTTACTTGAGTTGATACTGTGGAAATTAAGAATGGGATTTTAAGGAAATTTAACTTTCAACAAATAATTTATTTAATTTTATAAAATGCTTACCATTGTTTCATTGATTGTGCAGGCTCACCTCGTGATTCAGACGGTTCTACCATGGCGTCCCCTCCATCAGAGTGGCAGCGAAGAGCAGAGCAGCTGGTGTTGTATGTGAGAGCCTTACAGCTGCTGTCGTCAGCGCTTACTCTGGCCAAAGACGAGAAGTCAGTTAGCAGACTACAGCCTTCAAATGCTGTTAAGAATGGTAAATATTGTTTCAGAAGTACATAATTATATTTTAGCAGAGAGTTTGGCCATGTTGCATATTATCTCCAACATTATACTGTAATATTTATTTAGAAGTTTTAATGCAAGAAGTTGTAATTGATGTGATGGAATGGTGTGCAGTGACACTTGTTATTACAGTAGTGAAGAGGCATTATAAAAACAGGTCAGTTGAATTAATACTACAAAGACAGAAATAATACTGTAGTTGTTTCCAGATTAGAAATATATACTATGATAAAAAAATATGGTAGAAAAGGCAACATAAACAAGACACTGGTTTTAAATTGATAAAACCCCTGCTGAAATTCTATGTATGGTCTGTACTATTGTAAGGGTCAAAGCTTGGTACTTTTGGCCAACAGCAAAATGAGGCTAAAGGCTTTCAAAACATAGTTGTCCAGGAGAAAGTTAAAGATAAGAAATACAGAGACTGAGTGGAGCAACAAGAAATAGTGGAAACGTTTAGATGAAGAATTGGGAACTGATTGAATATAGTGAAAGATAGTACTGCAATAGTAGGGGGGTCATGGTAAGGCAGGAACATAATCAACATGTAAAGTAGTACGTGTGTATGAAATCTGAACAAAATCCGTGGTATGACTCAAGTGCCAAAATGCAATGTCAGGCATATTTTTGACGTAAAAAACAACAGTTTTTGTGTAGTGAAAACTAACATGCTGATGTCATAAAGATAGTCTATATTTTTAAGGAAATGTATATAAAGGTGATTTAAAACTTATGGGCACAGTTTAAGTGACCTTTTAAATATTCTAAATATCTTTAATTACTGTATTTCAAAGTTCATTAATTCACACTAATTACTCGAATTTTTAAACTGTGATCCCAGATCCTTAATCAGAGTGTAAACTAGCACTTTTGTATAAAGTTTGATCAAAGTCCATGGTATGAGGAGGAGAAATGAATCTTAAGGCAGAGCCCTTGAAAAAATACTAAACCTCAAAAGATTGGTAAAAACAGGCCACAAATTTTTGGGGTAGTGGACTGTGTTCACCAGTTCTCACACTTGTGGATGACATCTTACATGACTAAATGTAGTGTTCTTTTAACATGCATACTGTACAGTATTTGTAAAATACATCAACATTTTACAGTTGTAGGAGTGCTAAATGACCGTTTTCGACAAGCGTTGAGTGTGTGCAAGGATCTGAATAGTACTGGAGCGGTTACTGCAGTAGATCCAAGAACATCCACCGTAACTGCAGACAAATTGATTTACAATTATGCTATTGAGATGGTGAGTATTATGACACAGTTGTTATAACTTTAGCAGCAGCACATACATAAGGTTCTGGTGTTTCTTTGCACACAAAATATGCATAGTACACACACAATATTATTTCCATCTGCACATCTACGTGGGCCCGATCCTTGGTTTTCATTAAAAAACAAAAAGGAAATTTGTTTTGAATTCTTTCATCAGTTTATGTCAGCTACTGTGTGATCTACCAGAAGTTTTAGTTGACAAGAATTTGTTATTGCTCTTGGATAAACTTATTTTAGAATACCATTTGTTATTTACTAATTCACATGTGGAATTATTAAAAAATTTTCAATATTTATTCCTTAGCAGGAAAAAGTAGATTTTACTGTTACTTTTTATCCAGAATTATGAATGCGGTTACTGTCATGATCTTATTTTAATCTTTTTGTGGTACAGTACTGGTTCACCCATTAGTTGTAATTAATAATTTTAAGAAAAGGAACACTAAAACAACACATTTGGCAAAGCACAAATGAAAAACAGTGATGGTAATTCTTTGTTGCACTTAATTCTCACTATACTGCAACTGTGAGAAGAAATTTTAATTAGTATTGTTTTTTGTCAGCCGTAATCACAAAAATGTCCAAAAGTTTGTTTAAGACTATGTAATATAAATATCTCTTCCTTTACAGTGTCAGAGTGCTGCATTGGATGAACTGTTTGGGAAACCAGAGGAGTGCTTCCGACGCTACCAAACTGCACAAATACTTCTTCATGCTCTGGCTCAACAAGTAGCACACGATTCAGACCGCTCTCTGCTCACACGCTACAAACAGGCAGTAGAAAGACGACTATTTCTCCTTCATGAACAAGGAGTTGTTCATGCCTATAATACAAATGAAGCATAGAGACTGGAAAAAAGTTTATACAATGCATACATTATGCATAAATTGGTTGAAAGGCATTGGCTAAATTGTACAGGACGGAAATACTTGGAAAATGATATCATGGATTTCAGTTGTGTGTATAGCACCTTTACAGCTTGTTTGACAATATTTTTTTATAACTACTTCCATGATAAGAAAGACATTTGTTTACAATTTTTTCACATTTATTAATACAGTATTTGGCTGTCAAGACTGTGACCGAATGTTAGGCTTGTACAGTATACATATTACTTATGCATTTAAATTGTTTCTCGTGAATATAAAGTGGCAACACACAAGTGCTATAAACAGTGATTCATATCGTATAATAGGAAATCGTCAGCAGCCCATAGAATTTGACTATTGGTATTATGGGGGGAGGGAAGGGGGCAATCTTCAAGAAAAAGAAATTACAAGAAGCTCTCTCAGATTTTGTGATTGTTGTAATATATGAACAGCAGTGGAAAGGATTTATGAAATTATGACCAATGTACAATGGAAAATTGTATTAATAACAAGAAGTCAAAACAATGCTTCCTTATTTATTTTCTGTGTCTGTAGGAATACTGTCACTTTAATGTAAAGATTTTTTTATATAATATAACTGTGCATTGCCAAAATGAAAGTGTTTCAGAATGACGATAGTTGTATAAAGGTTCGCAAATACTACTGACGTGTGTAATTAGCAACGTTCTGTGTGCTTTATATATACATCCATGTACATGAATATTATCACTCCAGCAAGCTCTGATTAATTCATAATATATATATGTTTTCATTAACAACCAATACCTCTATGTTTGTAGCCTTGTTCCATACAGCGATCGTTACCCTGAGAAGCTCTCGGTACAAACATTTTGTTCATAAAAGTAAAAGATGAATATTGTACTATACTGTACGTATTGATGTACCTTCAGCATTACAATATGCAGTTGCAAAAGCATAAAAGGTGTTTCAGATTGCTATTACCAGCCTGTTGAAAAGTATGAAAAATATCAGGGACATTTCTCAACGGAAATTATTTCCTCCCGTCGGTTTTAAAGTATGTACTTTAACTGATACCACGGCCAGACAATACTTACATTAATCATTCTGTACTTGTGTGAACAATTGAAATGATGACTGTGCGAATTGATAGCTGCAATGCACGTATTCCAGAATGAAAGAATGCCTTTAAATATAAAGTCATACTTTTGCCTCGTTTCCATAAATAAGAGAGTAAAGTTCGTCGAGACTAGAAAATATGATAAACAATTATTGCCTTAGTTTTTCGGTGGACGTAATTGGCTATAAAGAAGAAAAAATATACTATATATGGTAATGAAGCCATGCTCCTATAACTAATAGATAGTTAAGAAATTAGCTGAGTGTAGCAGTTGTACACCAAGGCTGAAGTTATCCACACCTGTAGAACAAACAAAACTAAAAAAATATTATGGTGTTCAAATTATATAATTTTTTTATTTGTTTTATATGCTGAGACTTGATAATTTAATGTATAGTATCAGAAAAACAGACATGTAGAAATTATATTTCCATGTGTTAATTTGTATATTAAATATTCTAATGAGGTAGTGTATGAAAAATACATGAGTATAGTGTTTGTGATCACATGTGGCAATAGATATAGCTCATTGGTGAGTAACAGGTTTTGTTATTCATTTCTCAAAGTTATTCTGCCCCTTTTATCTGTGATGCTCAGGTGTCTCAGTGACAAAAAAATTTCATTAATGAAGACTATGAATAACTTGGTGCTGGATACCACTAGTTTTGGTGTATTAATGCCAGGGAGTAGTGTATGAGTCAAGTGCTTATGGATCTTAACAATACTCCTGACGCTGTGCTCACCTTCTCTTTCCCTTATGCCCAAGAGGAAAGGCCTCATTTACTGTTATATTTACTTCATCATACATCCTAACATTTATTTTGGTGATAATAGTTTTTGATAATTTATTTAGTACAGTATGTACATGGTCTATAATCATTCATTTATTCCTGTGCTATCAAGAATATACTGGTATATACAGTACCATGTTAAGAGATGAAGCATTAGAAACAAAGAAAACTGGTAGCAGAATAGATTTTTTAATTTGTGAAAATGTTGCCAGAATTGCACAGGAAAATAGAGTGATTATCAGTTTTTTGTTACCCAGAGTAAGAGTTGTTTCCAGTTTCATTTTACAACCAAGTGTCAAATGAAGAGTTTAAGTGCTGCATAAGATATCAGAAAAAATTCAATATAAGAATAATGATTTGCAACAGTTTATTGTATCTTATTAATTTGACTATTTACTCATTGAGAAAGCATGTAAATATCTTGATATTAACTTGGTTAACATAATGACAAATCTGAATTTGTTTTGCTTTGTTTTTGTCTTTCAAATCTATATACAATTACTCAGGAAAAATAGCTTAAGATTCAATTGCCACAAAGTCTTTTGTTCTGCAAATGTGTATATATGTATGTGTGAGTGTGCAAGTGTTTTGTTTTAGGTAATTCTCATTTGATTTTGGATAACTTGCCTGTGAAAAGCTTTAGTTTTTATATGTATGCATTATTTTTAGTCTTGAATAGTAAGGTGAGAAGTAATTAACTAAAATATGTACTTAGAATTTTCTTCATGTTTTTCATATGGAGTTCTTAACTCCCAACCTCAAGTTATGCAGTTAAGTCAGTATAATTCTGCAGAATATGTAATAAGATATGTATAACCTGGTAACTGATTGATACCCTGATGTTGATCTTTAGTGTTGCCCAAATTGACACGACCAGCTTCAGTACAGTGTAATCGAAGGTATATGTGAAAAATATCAGTTTTCTGGTTATATGTGCATTCTACATCTGGGGGGCACAGATTGTAGAACATTACTGTATATGATATAATATTGTCTGTCGTTTGCATTCATGGAGTCAGTGTCTAGAATTTACTGTCTTTTACAGTGATACAGTGACTTTCTCTGAGAAATTGCAAAATTCATCATCAAGTAATGGAAATGAAGTGATGCCCATGTGGCTTCTATCTAGTCCCGTAACACCGAGCCCAAGGCCTAATGCACTTCACTAATAAAGAACAAATCATCGTTGATTAGACAGAATTAAAAAGTTAGTACTGTACATGTATTTTGCTTTCAGGCTGTGTATATAAAAAGTGGTCAAATGTATCTTGAGGGGTGTTCATTGACTTGTAAAATGAACTTAGTGGGGTAAGATGTTAACAATAATTATTATGGTTTCCGTAGTAATTACTTTTTTTGTAAGAGGAAGTGAATCAGTCACACATCATGAGTTGTTCTTTTATTATCAGGAAGGTATAATCCCTTGTTGGTACATATAACACTTATAAGTTTTTGAGTTTACATCACCTGTACATTAAAGTTATCTTTCTAGTCGATTGATTTGTGTGTGGGCATTTTGGGTGGGTATGCGTTGGTCCCGGTGTCACACATGAAGGACACTGTAGTTCTGTCAGCCCATATCATAATTTAAGGGACATGCGTCTCTCAAGATCTCGTGCTTAGTTCATAGTTTGTTATTAGTGCATAGGTAAAGGGTTCACGACAAAGGAATGTATTTTTTTTAATATGCATGGAAACTATGTGTATGAAAATGCACACACTACTCATACATACAGTATATATTTTACAAACACTCTCATTAGCAGACATTCTGTACTGTGTACTCATTCTGTATCTCGCACACTCCTGACACACACATACACACTACATCTTCCATAGGCAGTTATTGCAATTCAGTCTACATTAAATAGACTTTGTTCTCTCGTCATTTTCAGACTTTGCATGACTGAGTTACATAATATATCTGGAACATTAAATATTAAAATTTTGTAGTTCCTGTTAATCATTCTGTGACCTACTGATTTTAATCATGACTGCAGTCATGGGCAAATTATCATCCGAGCAAGACATGCCTGTGCCACTAACCTGTACTGACTCACAACATGGGTAGTGGCATTAGCTGTTGCCATGGTGTCTGCCAACCACAGCATCTGTGATCTGTTTGTTTTTACGTTAGTGAGATTTTTTACAAGATGACTCATTGCATTACTGTAAGAGCTGCAAGAGCAAAATATTGTGAAACAGTGTGTGTACAGGAAATGTATATTTCTTGTTGCAATGCTGCCCTGTCTGTGTTTATTTCTGTGCCTATTATTTAATTCAGGAATACAAGAAGACATAAGATGAAATGTCAGTGTGATGGCTGACTAGTTAGTGAACTGAATGAGAGGGTGAAAGTCATGTGTGGATGAACTCTGATGGGGTATTTGATAATCCCAGATGTAGACAGTAGTTGTATGTCATCAAAGAGTTGCCCAGCCTTTGTAGTGAAAGTGTGTTGGCACACTGCAGTATTACAAGACCCAAAGTAACTATTCTTACATATTCTTTCAGATTGGCAAATTTGTTACTTGGTCAATACAAGAACAAATGTATGGCTGTTGGTCTCTGTTCCTGTTTAACCAATTGCAAATTATGCTTTTAAATGTACAGATTATAGCTAAAAATTCTTATTTTAAAAATTATAAAAAAATTCAAAAAACAAAAAAGAATACTGCTATGTTTGACTGCTGTAGCGGCAGGGCATAATGCAGGTCCTGTAATACACTAGATGCCTTTATGTACATGTGAAGCAGATAAACAGCATTGTGTAGAGTATCATACCTACTATAAGCAAGTTTTTGGTGGGTATAACCATCTCCTAGTAGCTCCTAGTCATGTTGATATAATAATTTTAAAGGAGCAGATGGCCACCAGAGATAGGGTTATGGATGTACAGGCTACCCTACAACCTGTGTTTGTGTACATATGATGAGGATGCAGGTAAACATTATTTACTCTTGCAACTAGTACAATGCCCTGCATGGGCTGTCATTTTATATTCTTATTATAAACACAATAGAGCAAAAAGAAAAGTCAAATAAAAAGAAAGTCTCGGATCTCTTTTTATTTCCCTACATAATCAATACAACAATAGTAAAATATAAAGGAGGAATATTCAAGAAATGGCTGAAATAGCAGAATTGGTAAGTCGTGGTACAAAATTCAGTGTGTACAGGTGAGCAATGTGAATGACACTAAAAACAATCACATTCATATGTTAAAAGCTTTATGAATTAACAGGGATACATCTGATGAATAACTATCCTGGGGGACTTTGCTGTGGAAGGTGGACAAATCCTGCACTACCACACAAGGGCCCTCACAGGCGTTGAAGCCCCTAGGGGACCCGCCGAAGGGCGGCAGCACCCCCAGGGGCCATCCTTAGGGGTGGTGATGCCCCCCTGGGTCCTCCCAAGGGCAGTTGGGCCTTGCCAGGGGCTGTGGCACTACCAGGGATCTTCCCAGGGGTAGCGGCGCTCCCATGGACCCTCTCAAGGGCGGTGGCGTGGCCAGGGTCACTCCCAGTTTTGGAGGCACCCCCAGAGGTCTTCATAGGGGCTGTGGCATCCCCAGGGGCCCTCTCAGGTGCATCAGCTCCTCCAGGGACCCTCCCAAGTGCCGTGGCACCCTCAAGGACCGCGGCACCCTCAAGGGCTTGATCGTGGTATACATATTACATACGCCCTGCAATCCCTTACTTAACTGTGATTGGTAGAATAAAATGTAAATCAACCAAAGTACAGCCAATAGGAGAACAGAACTATCAGTCAGCACAACACCCCAACTTATGTTTTCCAATTGGATATTTATTCACCTTTTCAATGTTCTGGATGGAATCATACTGGAAATGCGAAGGGGGTGGTGTATTTACTTAATGTCATAGCTATCAGAGTTCTAAATAGTGAAAAAAACAACTGTGCCCAGGGAACCTCACTGGGGCAACAACAACCCCAGAGGCCCTCCAGATGCATTGGTTCCCCTAAGGGCCATCACAAATGCCTGGGCGCCCCTAGGGGGCCCTCCCAAAGGTGGCCATGCCCCTGGGGGCTCTTTTTAGAGACGGCATAGCCTCCAGTACCTTCCCTGGGCGACGACGCTCCCAGGGGCTCTCCCAGATGTAGAGGCGCCACTAGGGAACCTAATAGGGGCGGCGGCGCTCCTTTGGGGCCCTCACAATGGCAGCGGTGTCCCCTAGAGCCCTCCTTAGTGAAGGCGGAGCCCCCATCGCACTTGGGAGGGCCCCTGGGGCAGGCACCGCTCTTGGGAGGGCCCCTCTGGGTGCCACAGCCCCTGGAAGAACACCTTCCAGGGCTTCTGGGGGCTCCGCCTCCCGTGGTAGGGCCCCTAGCGGCTCTGCCTTCACTAAGGAGGGCCCTAGGGGACACCGCTGCTGTTGTGAGGGCTTGATCGTGATATAGTACAAATAGCATACATCCAGCAATCCCTTACTTAACTGTGATTGGTGGATTAAAATAAAAAATGCACCAAATTCTAGCCAATAGGAGAACAGATCAGCAAGTCAGCACAATACCCCAACTTATGTTTCCCTGTTGGATATGTATTCACCTTTTCATTGTTCAGGATGCGATCACACAGGAAATGCGATGGGTGGTGTATATATTTAACTTCATATCTCTCAGAGTTCTAAATAGTAAAAACTAACTGCCGCCAGAGGACCTCCCAGAGGCAAAGGCGCACCTAGGGGTCCTCCTTAAGGTCAGCAGTGCCACCAGAGGCTCTACCAGGGACGGTGGTGCTGCCAAGGGCCCTTGCAGTGGAGATGTCTATAGGGGTCATTCTAGGGAATGCGGGGGCCCTCCTAAAGACAATGACACCGCCAGGCGTTCTCCCAGGAGCGGTAGCGCCCCAAGGGGCCCTCCCAGGTGTCCTCCCAGGGGAAGATGCTCCCCCAGGGGCCAACCCAAGAGCAGCTCCTCCCTCAGGAACCGTGACAGTGGCGGCAAAGCCTCCAGTGGCCTTCCCTGGGGCCTCAGCGACCCTAGGAGCTCTCTCAGGGGCGTTGGTGCCTCCAAAGGCCTTTCCAGGGATGGTGGTGCCCCCAGGGGCCCTCCCAGGGAAAACTGCTCCCCCAGAGGACCACCCAAGGGCAGCTCCTCCCTCAGGGACCCTTCCACATGCAGCATCGCCCCAAGAACTTCATAGATTTGACT